TGATTTATCCAAGGTTTGACACAAACACAAAATAATGACTGAAGGAGGAATACAATGTTTTTATTTTGACACAATCATAACTTTGACACACCAATGTTTGACTGTAAATGATGCCAGTTGTAAAAAACTTAGTCTGGATCTGACAATCCAGTGATACACATCACAGGCATTGATCTACACAACTGGGATATGATAGCATACATCAACCCCAGCGCCAGTCCAGACCAGCCAATCAAATTCATCACCTCTTTCAACCAGTATACATTGCTGGGGACCTATATTCTTAACCAGAATACCTAAGGGCTTGTAGACAATAACTCATGAAGACCTGGATTAGAATTGGTCTTCAGCAATCCATAAGAGACAACTAACATGATCCGGTAGTCCGGCTTGCTGACTTGGTTGATACATGTCATCATATCCCAATTACTAAGATCCATTCTGTTGATGTCAATCACTGGATTATCTGGCCCAGACTTGATTTTTTTACAGACCCCTGTCATGTTGTTGAAATATTGCTGAATGTGGCATTAAAAACAAACACAACAGTTGATAAGTGATATGTAATATGTTTACACCTGGAACACCTCATCACCAATAACACTTCCAGATATTCTTGAATGGTTCAAAAGGAGGTGAGCACCGACAAATCCACGATGGATCAACATGTGAAAAGTGTCTGGGGGTTGAAAAAAAGGAAGGGTGATGGGGGAAGGGGGGAAAGAGGAAAGAGACTTCCTGTCATGGAGACAGTCCTCACAATGATATCTATCTATAGCAATGCAAGCAAGCCCAGGCAGAACTCCAGGGGACATGACACCAAGAAGAAACCCAACAAGACCTCTCTCAATCAGAGTATGTCATGGCCTGATGTATTGGAAGCTGACAAACTGCAACAAGCTATCTCTTCACCAATATTTCACAGGAACTCATGTCTCCACTCAATACAAATGATCAAACTAACCACAGCACCACATATGCTGTCTGTGTTGTATTCCAAGATGGCTGCCAGAATGACCGTCTGCTACATTTCAAAGGTGTTTGGATTGTGGTGCTGCAAACACTTTTAAGTGACAAGTCCAAAACTTATATTCCTACAATTAATGAAGAAAATCAGGGAAAAGGCTTCTGTATTTGGTTTGGAATCAAATAATAATGTTATTGAACTTATGGTAAAGATTTTAATGTGCTTAGTTCTTTGTTCAATAACATTCTACTTCATTTATCCATCAAGCATATGTTATGATTAATTTTCCCAGACAAACAATTTCAGAAGATTGAAACTCAACTCTTGTTAAAGTGGAAATATATACTGATTACCATATCTAATTTTCAGGAAGTCATTTAAGAAACAGAAAGCAACAACAACTTGGGGCATGATTCTTTGCTGCATTCATGTGGACAATTGACTTGCCTTGGCATGTGTTTGTGATCAGTGCTGCTTGGGGGCAGGATACCTTTTGGAAAACATCTAGAATCATCACTATTTGATAGTGATTCATAGCCACATATCTGGAATAAAAAGCGGCCGAAACACAATCAAAGAATCAGCTTTTGATAGGATTCATAGCCATTGAACACATAGAAGCTTTTAGGAGCGATTGAAATATAGAAAGGATTTTGTCACTTTCATTAACAACATGCTGGCTCCTGATAAATGATAGGTCGATTTGCACAATGAACAAGAGATCATATAAACATACATCTGTAAACATATCATCTTACACATGAACCTGACTGTGACACAAGCAACTCTTAGTCTAATTACCTTGAGTATGTTATAATCTTTATAAATGAGTTCATTATTCACCAAACAGAGAAACTGGAATTTACATACCAGGTCCCGATTTCTCGAAACATACTTAAGTCTGAGTTTTGACTTAAGTTAGAGTATTTACTCAAATTTGAGAAAATGCATTTTACCAGAAAGAACTGAAATCGATATTAAACTCAAACATACTATACTATTTGAGTTTGGTGGAAAGATTACATAAATTGTTTGGCATCTTTTATTTTTAAAATGCAGCTCAGCTGTGTCATATTGTCAAACTCAGTTTGAAATTTGAGTAAAAACGTAAGTTTGTTTCGAGAAATCGGGCCCTTAAATAATTCTTAATGTTTCTTTACAGTTGATAAATTGGAACATGGCTGTTTTTGAAACATATATACATATATATTGCCACATGAATACAGTCTTCCATGCCTCAAGCTCCCCACCTGCAAAGGTTAAGGGCACTGCTCCCCAAATTTTTATTGAATTGTAACAAAATGTTTGTTTATGAGTTGTACAGGTACATGGTTTGTAACGGCAAAGTAGAGTTCATTACATTGAACATACTTAAATTGATGAATGTGAGCATGTTCTCCTTTGACACATTAATGAATCTGGTGTCTCTGTGCCTTATTTGATCCAGGTACGAGGATTGATTGAAAAGTTTGGAGCCTTACTGCAAAGGTAAACCTACGGCAGTTGGCATGCATTAAATACAATCTTTCCTCTTTTACAGGTTACATTTGAACCAAATACATGGCCAGACAGTAGATTTCTGAAACATCAAATAATGTATAGTTTGTTGATGAATATGAACAAATCTCACAAGTTTGTTGGGAATAGTCTGTGGAATGATCTAGGCAAAGGTTTCGGGACACCATGTAACATTTGAGATTCATAATTTCTCATGAAAATATAACCCATTTTGAAACAATCACAGCAGATTTTGGTGAGTGATTTGTAACCATGGATGAGACTTAGTTTTACCAGTACAGGGCAGAGTCTAAACAACAGACAAGGCAGCAGAAACATCTAATGTTTCTTGTCCAATGACACAGCATGGTGACAGATTTCTGACTTTGTGAGCCGGACGATTAGAAGCCTAACTCTGAAAGTGTGGGTTTGAATCCAGGATGGGACTCAACCCAAAAATGAAATAGAATCTGTACTTTACAAAGAAACTGTAATCCCAAATATAACATATGTTACATCTGATCACTTTCTAAATGGCATTATGTATTCATAACAAGGACCAGTAAGGTTCCACAGTATATACTGTATGTAACTGGTCCAGTTAAAGGTGTTGACAACGTCAACCCCAAATCATGGCAATAAGAGGCACTGGGAATAACGGAGCCCTCACTGAATAAAAGAGTTTATGATTAGCAAGATTAACTGTACAGTATTGAAAACAATATTTCCAACAATACATTTTCATCTAAAAAATCTAAAAATCTGTACATTCCCATCATGAAATTGCTTCTTTAGTAGTCATACATGTGACAAAGCGTTAGTAAAGGTAAAAAAAGCTAGTCTAAATCACTGGTGACAAATTTCATAATATTTCACTTGATAAGTATTGGTGGCATCTGATGAAAATTATCATCATGATTGATAAAAACATCGCGGTTAATCATCTCTGGAGGTTGCATACACAGAGATGTCCTGATGTAATATGCACTGAGTGGAAAAACTCACTAACTCTGCTTTGTCAATCTGTGGAGAAACGGAATTTCCCAATCAGGAGTCGAGTGGTAAGATCAGGAGGACCCTCACAGAGAGGAAGTTAGAAACTAAATCATAAAGCTTTCTATGAAGGCAGCTTTGTTTGTGGAGTTTGGCAAGGTTCCACCTATGACCATCTGTTTCTGATTTGTTGATTTCACAAATTACAATTTATTATGCATAATTGTCAGAGTGAGAGAGAGGATTAAACTTGCTTTCTGCCTTAAACTTTGTTCACAGTCATGAATTCATAGAAAACACACAGTCAATACTGCAACCAAAACCATTTTGCTGCATCTTTTTAACCTTAAAAGCAACACTAAAGAAAAGTTCAACTTTGGCTCTGAGTTTGTGACTGAAGAGCCACAATAAATATTCTGGTTATGGCTGAAAAGTTCAAATTGAGCCCTGAGCTAGTGACTGAGAAGTCCCAATAAAGTTGAGCTTTAGATTTGAAAGTCCAAATCAACGGCATGCTTGTCAACAAGATGTTTCCCAATGAATCTGAGGTTGTGATAGAAAAGTCCGAGCAAAGTTTCAGTTTGTGACTGAGAAGTCCCAGCCAAAGCTCAGGGTGTGACTGGAACACCCAAGTCAATGTTATGCTTGTGACTGAGAAGTAAAGGATAAAACACGACTCCGAGGTCTTGGTCGGGATTATAAAACCTGAGAGCAGCAGGGACGGAGCTTGTAAAACCGAGGGCGAAGCCCGAGATTTAACAAGCTCCGTCCCTGCTGCTCGAGGGTTTTACAATCCCGACCAAGACTGAGGGGCAGTGTTTTATCCGACTTATGAACCGTCATGAATGTAAAACACAAATATGTATTATTTTCAATTTGTGCATGTACTGAGCAGAACAGCATTGATGGAACAGCCCGCAAAAAGATGGAACAGCCAGTGTCAACTGGGACACGACTGGCAGTCAACACCTTGCCTTGCACGCGCAATGCACGTGCTCTGCACACGCTACCCGTGTCCTGCACGTTCGCTGCCTGCGGTACCCGTCTTGTGAGGAACGCATGGTTTATACTGACAAACAATCTCATTCTTCCAGCTATCCTTCATAGCCTAGTGGATAAAACCGCCAAGCTAGAGAGCAAAGGGTTGCGGGTTCGACACCAGTTTTCAATAATGAGAAATCTTACGATCAGTCATAGCAAGACAAAGTTGCATCAATCATAAATAATGGTAATTTCAAAAACCGCATATCAGGTTAAATATCGACCATTTCTAAACCTAGGTTATGATATGGTCGAAATTTAACCTGATATGAGGTTTCAAAACGTGTACTTCAAAACCTGGGTTTAGAAATGATCGGTGCAAAGTCAAGGCAGATGTCTACCCGATTCTGGAAGGAACCTACCTTACTGCAGAGAAAATCGGAGATAGGTTTATAAGTCCCCGCTAAAGATCAGGTTGTGACTGGAACACCCCAGTCAACACTATGCTTGTGACTGAGAAGTCCCAGTAAACCTGAGGTTGACATAGAGAAGATTGACCTACCGGTGACTGTGCATAGCTGCCATAAGCTGCAGGGTGGGGCTGCGAGTACCGCATCCCTACCCCTGAGGACCGGTAGTAGGGGTTGGGGGTCCATGATCCCTGAGGGGTGTGGTACCCTGGTGCTGTGGGCGTGGCAGTAGGTGACATTGTTGTGTTCTTTGGTGCATACACTGGCCTAGTTTGCTGAAAAAGATAGAATTGGGTGTCAGTAATATTTGGAGCAATGCGATAGTACTGACCAATCTGTAGATTTGATCTAGAAAAACTTCACTATTGTTGATGATGAACGAATCACAGTAGAATCTTTTCCAAATTCCTGAGACGTCCTGTGCGTAGGACATACAGAAAAATTGTGAGGTTTAAAAGGGTGCGCTCTTACGTCACGATTTAAGGGGGAGATAACTCTTTAAGGGGTAGGGCATACTACCAGGGGAACTATGACTTAGGGATCATTTTTTCTTTTCCATTTTTTCTGTATGTGTCTGTGGTAACCCAAGAAATAAGGCAACCATAATCCAGAGGGAATGTTTACGCCTAAATTAAGATAGAATTGGGTGTCAGTAATATTTGGAGCAAATATCAGTTTGAACATGATTTTAATGTTGATTATTGCTATCATTTCAGCGTGTTCCACTTCTATACATACTTTTATATCTTCAGGGTTCCATTTTAGTTAACCTTAATTTGGCCTAAGATCCCTTCATCTGGTTCTCAAAATCTCATATTATCTGCCCTTTATTTACATTAATATTTAATATTTTGTTTATATTTTTATTATTGGTAAATGGGGCCTTGGCCCCCGTATTGATACATCAAGTAGCTTGTCTATCTTGTAAAAACACAGCTGTCTACAGCAATGATTACAGATGGACAAAGACCTTGACATTAAAGAACCAATATACTTTGTTTTTTGTTACTCTTTTAGCCATTACATATGAAAGATTTGTGGTTAGTCTTATGCGGAACACCAAATTTATTCTTTAAAAACTTGTGGTTAATTAATACCGAGCGATTAAAAGTGGCCAAAAAGTCGCCTGCTTCCCTCTCGCCCACCAACGAAACCACAGACAGGTTACGTAACTCTGTCGCCAGAGCACTGCAGTGACGTCATATGAGGAACGATTTTCAGTTAGTCGTGTAGAAAGTGTGTAGCACGCTCATCATTTTGATGATTTCTCGACATCAACGACCACATGCCGAATCGTTGCTTTGTCGTCCATTGCTCCTAGGGGTCGGGCGATGGTGTCACCATGCACAGATTTCCACAGGACCCCGCGAGTTCGTGCTAAATGGGTTATGTTTGTGAGTGCGAAGGGAGCGTTGTGGAAGCCTGAAACGATATCTTACTTGTGTTCAGATCGCTTCACGGAAGTTAAAGAATCAAAACTACTTACTAGTTGTAGTAAAATATGTATATGATTGATGACCATAAAGATTTTCATTGACACAACTTGTAACATAATGATTTCGTCCTCGGAAGTGAGGTTGTGGTCGAAGTAACAATAATATTGTAAGTAGTATTATATTGACACCCACCTCGCTGCCAGGAGAGAAATTGTTATGTTATACGCTATGTCATGCAAAATCCTATCGGCCATCAATAAAATACACATTTTACTACCAGTAGAAAGTAGTTTTGATTTTGTAACTCTGTGAAAACAAACCTAAATAGCATTTATCCTCACACTAGCGGATGTTCCCGACAGGGCGCCGCCATTTTTGAAAATCGTAAAGTCTGTTAGAATTAATGAGATTATAGTTTGTTTTCATCAAGTGAGAAAATCAAAACTACTTTCTACTCGTAGTTAAATATGCATTGGAATCATAACCAAACGGATTTTGCATGACACAACTTATAACATAACGATTTCTTCCACGGAAGCGAGGTGGGGGTCGGAGTCACAATACTGCGCGATAAAATTTCTTGCTACATTCACATGCTTAATGTCCACTCACCAGTATGTAGATACTAGTCAATGTGCGTCTTTATATTTGGTCTTATAATCCTAATTAGTTTATTATCATACTTGTATGCATTTTGAAACTAAATAAAAAGCAGACGATCTGCTGATACTTATAGTGAATTTATAACAGAACTGTGATATCTAGACATTTTATAGTTTGCCAATCATAATTCGCACACACACCCTAGTGTATGTTGTCTGTCTCATTACACTTCATGGCGAAAACAATGATTCTGTTGAATGCTACGACAAACGAATAAAAACAAAATGCAAATATTAAAATTAAAACAGATTAAAGTTATAGGAACAATGTCAGGCCATTGCCTTGTTCGAGGAATGTATCCATCAATATCCACAAAACTGTTCCAAATGATGTGTCTTTTAACAGTTTAATATACGAAAAAGTGATAAATCTTTTCAGGTATTGGTGTATAGTCTCATTGGTCACCCAAGATAGCACACCTGGCAACTAATTGCATAATGTCCGCCTTTCTTTAAAAACAGTAATTTAGTTAGCCAATAATGGGCAATCAATCAATGTATTGCCGGTTAATCCTTTGAAAGAAGGACGTTGTTTTAACGCAGAACACCGACACGACAGAGTGTATTCAGTATAGATTAGTAAATCTACATACATAAACACTACCTTTTGACAATTCCGCTGTGTAAGATAAAAGTAATTAATCAATCAGCGTGTTATCGGTTAATCCTTTGATCGATGTTTATAATGTTGAATATTTACTCCAGACACAAGAAATGCCAAATGGGAACCTTTGTCGGAGTAATCTAAGTGTGCTACCACTAATTATACCTGTTATAAATTCATTAACTGACCATCAAGTGAATGATGACAAATAACATGTGTAGGTTTATACCACCTAACACGGGTTACAACAAGGGAGTATTAATTGCTGTATTGCATGTGAAAACTTATGGGCCGACACTGTTTTGAGAATACAAACAGATTTTTACATGACATGATTAAATATCGAGGTAAAAAAACACAGAAATGGGATAAATTTGGATCAGTCATTATACAAATAGGGCCTAACGACACCAATCGATTTTGACAGAATCGTCTATGAAAACAAGTTGTAACTCAGAAACTAGGCAAAGCAGGAGACAAAATTAAATGACAGTTGATTGTGATAACATATAGCTTTCATTTTCCACAACTATTGTCACGATTTCAGGTTTATACAAGCCTGTAAACAAGATAATTTACCCCCTAAAATGTAGATGAATTCTGCATCGGCCCTCAAAGCTATTCCTCATATGACGTCACAGAGACGCGCCGGTCTGATTGGTTGAAATTTCGTTTGCGGGTGAGAATTGTGCACTGTTGTCAAAAAGGTCGATTTAAGTCAATTAAAGGTCGAAATGAGTAGTTTTAATGACGGGGTTTCATTTATAACGATGCCACTTAGTGATCTATAGAGAATCTCACCCGAGTGTCTTCTGATATCAATTATATCATCACGAGTTGATAAAGTTACAAATATCCGAGGCTTGCCGAGGATATTTTTACTTTATCAACGAGTGTTGATATATTTGATATCAGAAGACACGAGGGTGAGATTCTATTTATCATCCAAAATCACTCTTCATTAATTTTCAATGAAAAATGTACATCTCTGAACTTTTTACTGCCATTAGACTTGCAGTGCAGCGATGTCATAGCATTGTGACGTCATCAAGTACATGACGTCATAGCATTGTCAGGGCATTGTACAAAATCTACTGTCAAAACGATATCTCCTAGGAGATATCGTTTGATCTCACACAAGCGATATCTCCTGTGGAACACAGTATTGGATGATAAATGTATTTGTACCCTCTAGGGTATATGTGATCTTTAAGTATTCGTAACTACGACTCGTAAGTTATACACTGTACAGACTTGCAACAAACATGGTTCCAGTATTGAAACAACAAGTAGCTTGTCTATCTTGTAAAGATACTGCTGTCTACAGCAATGATTACAGATGGACAAGGACCTTGACATTAAGTATTCATAACTACGATTGTCGTAAGATATACACTATACAGACTTGCAACAAACATGGCTCCAGTATTGACACATCCAGTAGCTTGTCTATCTTGTAAAGACAATTTCTCAGGCAGGGGTAATGACAACAAATGAACAAGGGCTCATATGAAAGTCAACGTAGCTACAACTGTCGTAATTGAAACAACACACAAGTATCACTTTGTGAAACAAGGCCCTGACTAATGTTTCACTGCAGCATCAGTGGCCACTTGTAAGCCTTTTATCATTGCATGATGTCGTGCATGAAGGCTAGTTATTTGTCTATTGATTCTTCCCAATTGGCAAGAAACGGAGCCGGACGGACCAGTAATGCGATAACACATGGGACCACTGCTGCCAGCTCTTGTTACTCCATATTTGGAAATGTGAAGAAACACATGGATCAATTTTCCTTATACTTGTAGCATTTTTCTGATAATTTTTTGTATATTTTTATTCATTTATCAAACCAATTACTGTCTTGGAATAGACTTGAAAGAATAATGATTTTTCCAGATCACTGTTATTAATTTCATGATGCATATTTCAGTGAGTGAGTGAATAAATGTGAGTTTAGTGAGTGAGTTTTGAATAAATGTTGCTTTAAACCGCATCAGCTGTTTTCCGGCTATTCACGGCTAATTTCTACTAAGAATGCAGCAACATTAATGACACCCACATCGTGTCTGGTTGTAGGAAGATGCCTGTGACAATAAATTCAGTTTGATGAACATGTAAGTCGCATAACATGAATGAACTATAGCTAGTTTTAAGAAAACATCTTCATTGAAAATTGATTGACAATTTCCTGTCTTTAGTTCTATCTGTATAAAGAACATTGTTCGCCTGTTTTAGGGTGACTTAAAGATGTTTAAGCTACTCTGTGTTGACTAAAGTCTTAAAAGCAAATCTTCTCAGTATTGTACATCGCAACACCAGACATGTAGGACAGAGGGGAGTAATCAGTATTCCTTGTTTCAATATAATGTACAGTGTATGGTACTGGCCTGCTACAAATAGTGGACCAAACTGGGGATTGGTTGGACAAAATGTCAGCCATGCTGAAGGAAGCTTACATCATCAACCACTGGGTTATCAGTATGGACTGAATCATAGTCGGCCATTTTCTTACATTAGAATTATATTGTTTGTCCTGAATTAACTTCATGTTTTTTTGTAAAATTCACAAA